GATTGTTTTTTTTCTTTGAAGTATTCACATAAACCACGGTATTAAGGTTGACGACCAAAATCTCAACACAATTTGTCCATACTGCTTACCACAAGAAGACGGAAAACAGGGAACCGATCGTAATGGGGTAATTTTACACTTAATGTGTCTGTTGGATTTGAAACTTGCTTTTCTTTTTTTGAGTTTTTCTTGTTGATATGATGAATAACCACTTCTGCGCTTACAGTATTCATGCATAAAAATATTGCTGAACATCAAATTTAACCGAACTAGCAATAGCTGAGCATACGCATCACTTGCACAACGAAAAACGAAATGTCTTTAATTCTGGTTTAATGTACTTTCGCCTCGTTACCTTAGAGTAATTGCACTTCTATAGGAACAGGTTCCGTTCAAATTATCCATAGCTGCTATAGTTCATCTTATGGCTTCCAAGTCACTCCAGTAGTAACTCTATAGTACAATGTTACTGACCAAAAAAGGCAATACTAGGAAATTGTTAGAAGTGCATTTTTGCAGATTTTCGCTCCAAGGCTAACAGTGCGCCTTGAGAGACGAAAGAAACCAACAACGAGCTGGTATCGGCTCAATGTGTTCGACGCTGATTCGCAGGTTCCGTATCGCATTCTAGTATGCAGTCATTTCACAAGAGTTGTTCGGAGTTTTTTTTTGTTTCCAGCAGAATTCTCCTGCTTTGACGCAAGATACAGCAGAAGACATTTGCGTGTCGTATGTAAGTCCTTTGGTGCTGCGTCGTGAGGTCGAGACACTTCTTGCTGCAGATTTGTACGCATTAAAGGTACCTCGTCTTTAGGCGAATTGAACGTTATATAAAGGATTTGCTAAAATAAATCTGCTCAGGATCCACAGATTATGACAAGCCATCCTGTCGTTTTCTGGAATCTGGTATTTTACCTGCGACGCCTTTCGCTGCCGTCTCATCTCTACATGTAAATTTTTCTTATATCTTTTCTGAGTCTGGTGTTTTCATAATGTTTTCAGGTGGATATCACCACGGGCGCATGTAAGGTGTGTCTATGATCGTCCTCTGGATCACGTTGGTCCCGCTCCTCTCTACTTGGTGAATCCAAATCATAAGGTAGTTCGCTCCTCGTTCCTTGCACATCACTGTTCTTGAACTAATTCTAGTAAATGTTTGAAGGTTAATGTTTGTTTCAGTTTGCGTCGCAAGAGATGAGTCGTTCGCTTCCTGTTTGGAAAAATGTAACTCAATCAGTGCAAGACAACAGGCTTTTTACTGCGATCCAAACCCTCATCAACGATAGCCGAAGAGTGACCGAAAATGGACAGATTGCGTTAGGTCCCCACTTCCCAGTATTCAGGTAATCATTTCACACAGAGTTCTTCTTTGTTGTATCTTCGTACATATTTTCTTTTAGGGATATACAATTCGCGAGCTTGGACGTGTTTGGTCGTGCTCTTTTGAGGGACAGCCTGGATAAGCAATATGTTGAGGAGTACCAAAAACTTCCACCTCGTATCATGTGCATCATGCCGCACCAAGACAGACCTCAGAGTCCCGTGCAGCGTGCCTGTCGTAAAGTTTTCCTTCCACTGGATCTGTTCTGATCCCTACGGGTTCTATGTAGTAGCTTGCTAATGTGATAAGAGTTTTGCGTAGTGTGCTGGATCCTGGATCATTATTCGCCTTTGCAAGTTCTTTGATTTGTTAATGAAACGATCTCGGTGTAGTGTGTTATGATGAAGCTGGTAACGGTGCTGTTCTTCTCCTTTTGATTTCTTTTTTTATATTTTTGTGAATCTCAGCGATATTTTTTTCTTGATCTGTTAGGTCACGCTTCACAAACGAATCGTTTCGTACACTAGATATTTCCAATTTTCGAATATTGTACAAGAATGTGAGATAATATAGTGTCTTTTTTACGATTAGTACAATTTTCTAAAGTGACAACATTTCTGTGCTAATATTTTGAATCTTTACTCGTGTGTTGTGCATAGACAGGTGTTGACGATTTGTGCACGAAGTTCTAGTGAAGCAAAAGTTTCTGCTGTTTTTGTGGCATTTAATGCGCAGTCGAGTGGTGAATAGTCTCTGGATTAGTATCAACTAGTCTGCTAACCCATGCGTGTCTTTTCGCTTAGCGCAGCTATAGTTTCGCGCTCTCTAACTGCTCTGCGCCCGTATCTATTGTGATGATAGTATTCTGGTCTCCCATAGTTGTGGTTGCTTTGTTGATTCGTGGTTTGGATCGGTCCTCGCCTTCACTTCTATAGTTTCTTTCCTACACTTTTGTGAATAGCTCGCATCATATTTGCACCACTTTCATTGTGATAAACCTGAATTCTACGTCTCTAGTTGAGTGATCTCACGTCGATTACGGCAGCAGTTACTGATGGAGAACTGATATATTCCCTAATTCCAAAAAATAGGTATTCGTCGTGTGCAGACCACACAACACAGGTTACGACGACCTTCACAAATTGTAATTTTTGTGCTAATGAAATGGTAGCCGGCTGCAAATGTGCTTTATTAGTTGTCACTAATTACGTTTATGAGGTATTAGTAAGAACCATTAGTTACCAGACTTACTTGGAGACAGTCGTAATTTATGGTGTGTGGTCTGCACTCGGCATGCACCTGGTTCTTGGACAGAGAGAGCTTTTTTTTGAAAAATGGGCAGATCATTGCAAGGTAAAGGAGGCTTCCCTTAATGCCCGCATGCTCGAGAAGAACAGATTTTGCGGCGCATGCCTCTAGTTTTCAAACTAACAAATACCGACACCCATCTTTTCATGTTCGCCACGGCATTTATGTTGGGGATGAATCAAGTCAGGACTTTATTTTTGTAGGTGACATAGGGATGTGGTTCTCTAGGAAAGAGAGCTACTCGCCGTAGGAACTCCAGGTTCACCCACGATCAGTGGTGGACCTGAGGTTCCTGCCCGTCGCGCGGCGAAGGAAGAGACGCAGACGCGGCAAAGGACGAGTCGCAGCGCGTGCTGTGCGATATGAGACGTAGTATGGTACACTCTATTTAACCTGACGCCTAACCGCTACAGTATGCGCTGCGACTCGTCCTTCGCCGCGCGACGGGCCTCTTGGGGGACACCCGAACCACACCCTTGACGTAGTGGCGTGGCTGCTCAAGAAATTGAGCTAGGTTGTAAGCGCTGCTAGGTATTTCTCATGAAAAAGGGAACAGTATCCATATGTTGTCAGCTTCTTTACTAAGGCCCTGCTAGAGGGGGTCGTAACCACACTCTTCGAGCAGTACATCAGCATAGCATTAAGAATAGTGAGGAACTGCACAACACCTATTGGACTTGCTGCTCTTTTCCGATTCATTTTACAGTTTTCGCGGGTAGGTCATACATCACTGTTCTCATGATGAAAAACGTAATATCACATCCAACTAGTTGAATCCAAAATTGTCAGAGTGTAAAATAAGGATGCCAAAGTCATACAGAAAGAAAGATTTGGTTTAGTATGTTAGATTTGAATCAGTTTTGTCACTTTACTTGCGGTAGCAGGCTGGTACTACATGATGAGGAGCGGCCAACAGAGTTGTTCGGCCGCCGCCCTTGCGCGCGCGGTCACTTGCGCGGTGTCGTAATCTTCTAATGGGTTCGCGATTTTTGCATTGAAGCTGCGCATTCCTTGCAGTCCACAATATCTGGGACACGGTATCGGAATTCAACTTACTTTGTCTCTTTCATAGGAAACGGTTTGCACAAATTCGTTTTCGAAGTTCACTGTCGCATTATTGAAACGCGGAAAGGAAAAAGTTTCGAGGGAGTTGAAACAGCTACATTTCTTGGTGATTTATGAGGTGGGTGGGTGGGGGAAAGGCTTTGAGCGATCGAGATTGGATTTCTGACGTTGAGGAATCACTGCATAAACATACAGCCATTGTATCAATCTGATACAATTTCAAAATGCTCCACTTCTCAACTGAGACATTTACACTTTTTTCACTTGCATCACTTGGGGTGTAACTGTGATAGGATTCAATCTCAGGCTCGTTGCCAACTTTTGCAATTCTTCCTGTGACTTGAACTGATTCAACAATTGCTTATTTCGCAAAGCGCTTCTTTCTACATACGTAGCCGATGAATGATGAAGTGATGCTTGCGTCGCTTAGGGCCCTGCCACTTCGTCACAGCGTGCTCCAGTGCTAACGCGGGTTACGGTAGCAGTAAATCCGCGACCTGTGCAAATCGCTTCTTTCTACATACGTAGCCGATGAATGATGAAGTGATGCTTGCGTCGCTTAGGGCCCTGCCACTTCGTCACAGCGTGCTCCAGTGCTAACGCGGGTTACGGTAGCAGTGAATCCGCGACCTGTGTTATCTTTATCGTAGGGGAGGGGTTGTGGCACGCCGATCTTCAGTGGGAGGAATGGAGGAGGATGAGTATTGTCCATCTACTCAGTTTATGATTACTTCACAGATGTCTATAGAAT